GAGCTGCTGCAGCTGGGGGTTAGACAGCTGAAGAAAAGAGTCCAGCAAGAAGTGATGGGAATGACTCTTGGGACAAGAAGACATCTGCCGGGAGGAACGTGGTGTTGGCAGCTGAGGGCTGCTCTTCTCCTCTGTGCACTCTGCTGCAGACCTGCTTTCCCTGTCATCCTTTGCTCAGTAATGAGGATGGTAATTGTTATTTATTGGCCAAGGAGTCACAAGTGATTTTCTGAGACCAACTCTGTCTTTTTCAGAAAGTGATGAACGTTTTCCCCCATTAAAAAAAAAAAAAGCAGAAGCCTCCTTTCATGGATTTTTAAGTCAAGCATCTTCCAAATCAAGGTGTCTCAAATCACTTCACTTTGAAGCTGTGTTACTAGGGATGGGTTTCTGAAGAGGAAGCAGCAGCTGACTCTGCTCCTAACAAGGTCTCTGGGGCCACAAGATCGTGTAGTCTGCTGTATGCGTGTGCTGCGTGATTAGGGTTCAAATTAAGGGGAGAAAAAACCTAATGGGAAACTACCATGCAGGGAGGATGAAAGCAAAGGAGTAAATATGGTCAAGCAGTCTGGTAGGTGGGTTTAAGGAACAGGGTGGAGCTCGAAAAATGTTTGAACAGGGTTGTGGTACCCAGCACGCTGAAGTGGTGTCACTTGCAAAGCCTTGGATGTTGCACTGATGGGAACAGTTTAACTGGGCTCTGGCACACCTTTCCTCTCTGAGCTCTGGGGAACAAGGTGACCATGTCGGGGGGCCTGAAATCCCATCCCAGTGCTGCCATGAGACAAACAACAAGTGCTCAGCCCCTTTGGAAAGCAAAGATGGGGATTTTTTATCTTTTTATTTATTTCCAATGCAGTTTGGGAAGAACACGATTCAGCATGGCTTCCAGTTCTGCTTTAGGGTCAGAGGAGACTCCTGGTACGACTTCTGTTTGTTGTTTTTTTTGGCATGCATTCATGTGTTTCCACCTTCTGTGTGTTCCTGACAGATGAAGCTTTTCACCTTCCCAGGGCCACTACGAACTGCCAGTTGGATTTCTATGTGTTGTCTTTTCTCCTAGCCCTAATTTCATGCCCATGCAAGACTCCCAGCCCTGTGTCATCTCTAAAGGTTACGTCCAGTGATTTAGCTGGAGCTGAAGCAAGCATGCCCAGCAGCTAGCTGGGGTGCCTGGGCTGCTGTGGAATAGATGGCCAAGACATCCCTGCTGTTTTTAATAGCTCCCTGACACTCTTGGCCAGCAAATGTGGCACATTTCATTATAACTTGGTTTTCGTGCAGGCAGGTGACCTTTGCAGTGTTAAGCAAAGCACCTCTCACCATCAACTTTCACAGTCCTTTTCCAGAGCTGGTGGCAACTTACTTGCTGTGGAGTTGTGCTCGCCTTGGGGTTCATCCAGGGCATGGGCTTGCACGTGGGCAGAGGACAGGGTCGTGTGATCTGCATCATAACAAATCCCAAGTCCCTGGGACCTGCCTTCACAGTGCACATCTCCTGCAGGCCTCCAGGGCTGGGCTGTGCAGGGTTGCCTGCCCAGCTTTCCCCGTCTAGCTGCACTGGCGGGCATGGTCAGAGAGGGAGAGGGGAGCTGTGCAATAGTGGGGGGCTGTGAGATGTGGGATGCTGCTCTCTTTTTCTCTGCATGGCTACTGCAAATCTGTCAAACACCCCATTGCCATGGCTGTGCCTCCTGACTGCAAAGTACAGGGAGAAATCGGTGGCTTTTGAGCATTTGGAGAATGCTATAGAAAAGTTACTACTTTCCCTAGGACAAATGCAAAGAATTATTGCCAGATTCTAAGCTCTGACTGGGGGCCCTATGTTACATACCACACCAAGAAATAGTGAGAATCCCTGCCTCAGAGATGCTGTAAATTAATCTAAAAGAAATAGGAGAAAACTGAAGCAGAGAGCAGCCAAATGACTTGCTGGAGCAGCCCCAGCTTCGCATTTGCAGACAGAGGACAGAGATTTGTCTGCTGAGCCCCAGTCCAAGGTGAGGCATGTTTATGGGAACATGCTCCCTGTCAGGAGCAGCTCTCAGCCATCTCCTCCAGCCCCTGTTCTTTAAGTTTCTTCCTTTTGGTTGAAATGAAGATTAAAGAATTGTCAGGGCATCACATAGAGGCTTTTCAGGCTCGAATCCAACCCTTAGGTCTGAACTTCCTAGGTGGACCCAAGCAGACAGAGGCTTTCTCCCAGTTCCTAATGGAGCTCCCCAAACTGCTTCAGAAGTGGTGTGGGATTCCTGCTGCCTCTCCTGGCAGCTCAGGAGCCGTAGCAGGATGGCATGTGAAACTTCTGTTGTTTGCAACTATTAAAGGCTTCAGCTTTGTCTGCATGGACACAGCATGAACCTTTTACAATAAAAAGCGTGTCTCAGTGCACAGATCTGGTACAACCACTATTTCTACTGCCCATGTCCTGCAGCAGCTCCCGTTAGAGATGCAGAGGATTTGGGATTACTCAGAATGAGGAAGAATTAGGGAAGGAAGGCACAAAAGCATGTGCCCTGGCTTTAGAAGTGAGCCAACCTGTGATCAAATCGTCTATCTTATTATAAAGCACCTCATAGTAAACCTTAGAGAAAAGCAAGGAGAGGATACTGGGCCACTTCTTCTCTTGCTGTGAGGAACATCTCTTTGTTTCCCCCTCACTGCTACCTCCCGTCACAAATCAGGACAGTGAGTGCTAACAGCTTCGCTCCTCCATTTTACAAGGCAGTAACTCAATACCTGGATTCATAAACCTCTCAGAGGAAGGCTGGGTGGCTGCTGGTATGAATGAATTAGATTATTGCTGATGAAAACCAGGGAACTGAAACTATTGCTATTGTGAAAATAATGAGGGGGAAATACACTTGTCTTATCTTAAATAGGATCCCAAATACCAGATCTGTGTGCTTCCAAAAGCCACAGCTGTTAGTACTCATTTGGGATCCCTACAACAGGCTCAGTCTTTTCTGTATGCTCCTAAAACACAGAGTCAGCCTTGCTGGACAGGGATATTCCCCAGCTCCGGGGGGCGTGAACCCCTTGTAAATGCTCTGGGCTGTGGTCTGGTGGGAAGGTGAGCCCTGTGCTGGGTGATGGGCTTTGTCCTCTTTCCCAGAGGGAGAAATGAGCTACAGATCCCTAATGAGGGTATCCTGGATGTGGGATGTGCTCTCAGCCAAAGTCTGTGACTTTCTTACGGTCCTTTAGGCTTTGTCTTCTGCAGTCTCACTCTCCACCATTTTTTGCTCATCAATTCCTTCCTCTCCACCACCAGGAGCATCCCTGAGACTGTGGAGATGGCAACATCTCAGTGGCAGAGAAAGTGCTCCAAAACAGCCCCAAATAAACCCTGGGAATGGGGCAAGCCCTGCAGCTAAGAGGTGCTCTGGGGGTCTCCTGCAACGAAGCTGCTTGGTGGTGGTGCCGTGGTCTCCCCCCCGCTGGCAGGAGCACGCCGTAAGGAGGGGGCAGCTATAATAAAACTTGGCCAAGTGGCGGAAACATGATCGACCCCTCAATTAATCCGATCAGAGCCAACAGCCGCTATGTGGAACATTTGCTCCTGCCCCGTATGCAGCTGCGTGCCGTGGTGTAACTATTTATGGGCCAGGCTCCAACGGGATTTATGGAGGATGAAGCCCTAGCAGCAGATCGGGTTACCATCTGAGATCACTGCAAATGCTGCAGCAAACTGCAACGGTCGCAAAATGAGGGCTGCCTGATGCGGGTCCTTCTGGTGAGAAATTCCCTGGCCATGAGGAGATGGAGTGAAACAGCTCCTCTCGGGCACAGGTTTATTTTCTCTCCTTCAGGCTTTCGGAGCACCTCAGCGCCTTCTCTGCCGCTGGTTGTCTTCCTCACCACGAGGAAGCCAAGTTGTGCCCTATCATCCACACAAGCGGCTGGGTATGGATGGCAGGGTGGCCATTCACTACAGCGTCTGGTGGACTTCTGGGGCAAATTTGCTGAATTTTCCCCTCTGGAAAGAGCAGAGGGGATGCAGAGCATCTGAGGGTGCAGGGCTAGCTGCAAGGTGTCCTGTCCGGCATGGGGTGTTAAAAAGAAATGTCCCCCCCGGATCTGAGGGCTACATGAGAAAGGGTTTATTCATCTTCTCCCCTTCTGCTGGAACCTCTTAGCATCTAGATTACCCAAATATTGAGTGTGAAGTCTCTTTTGGGTGCTCCTGGGGGTGCTGTTCCCCATGGGCAGCAGGGAGGACAGAGGATTCCTTGGGCTAAGATGGTTTTGCCTTTATCCCCCACTGCCTTTCGCTTGCTGTGGTGCTGTGAGCTGGAGTTCTGAAATGATCCAGAGTAGAAACTACCAACTTCTTCCTCCAAAAGGGCTGCGTGGAGGCAGAAATAAGTGGGCAAGGGTGAAGTGGGGAGAGAAGTAGAACAGAATTGTCTTCAGACAGCTCTGCTACAGGAGAAAACAGCAAGGACCGCTACACTGGGAGTGAAGGGTGGCTTGAGCAGCAGCCGAGAATCCCAAGCTTTGCGGGTGATGCAAAAGCAGGCTCTGCCTTAAGGCAGCAGCTGTATCGACAGCCACTTTGTCCTGTTTTCTCCCCAGCAGCTTCCAAGGGAGCGGTTTTGATTCTGAAGCAGCAGAAACCCCCCAGGATGTGATGACGTGATGGTCCCCTCCAGGTCTCAGAGCAGCTGCCCAGGTCTCGGTGCTCACCCTCTGCTTTCACAGGTCAGTGACACCCTTGGGTTGGTACCAGGATGGTGGGTGACGCTTGGCTCCAGACACCATAATTCTCACTCCAGAGCCACGAAGAAGCTCCCTGCCGTTGCCAGAGGGCTTCAGCGAATGCACATGAAATATCAATATGTTTGTGTCAAAGGGAGAGCATTGGGTCTTTTTTCCAGCTTATGGATGAGGGGTATTTGGGAGCCATTCTGCTGCTGCGTCAATGATGGGAGAGTTCACTTGTTCTTTCCAAAAGGGAAAAAGAAAAACAAACACAAAACCAAACCATGCCTGTCGTGTCTTAGTCACTGGGTTACTTTAATTAATATAACAAGACTTACTTTTAAGGTCAGGCACAAACAGGTTTATTAGGTAGGACTGAAATGTGATCAACCATTCAAAGTAAATTAAACTCCCCCTGACTCCTACGCTCAGCTGTTGCAGAAGGGCTGGGTCCTAAACTGCCCTAAACCAGCTTAATGCCATGGGCTTTGCTCTGCTCAGGCACTGGCTCCAGATCTGACCCACAGAGATGATTTTTCCACAGCATCACTGCTACTGAGAGAAGCAAAGGTAATAAAGAGAAAAATAAAAATATTACAAAAAAAAAAAAAAAAAAAAGAAAAAAAGCAGAAGGTATTAAATGTGTTATTTTGATTCATTCAGGAAGAGAGGAGTCAATGAAGCAATGTTTTTTCAAGCCTCATTTTGAGGCTGTGCACCACTTCTGAGGGGTCTCCACATTTCTCAGTTCCCTCTCACTCCTCACACTGTACGAATACGACCTCATCCCCATGGGCTTTTTGGTTTCTGTGACTTTCCCAGGGCTCTCTGTGAACTGAATCCTAGCTCTTTCAGGCATGATTTAGCAACTGAACTACAAGCCTCTTCTTTCTTGCTAGGTTTCCTGCAATATTCCTGGTGGTTTAGCAGCCTGCTGAATTAGCCCGTTCTATCCAGCACAACATTTCCTCTTATATCTGGAGAGTTTGTTGCATCTATCAGATATTTGCATTAAGCTACGTGTCACTGTGAAGCTTGCTTTGTGCTTGGATCAGGTCATGTTATTGGAGGTTTAAATTTAGATCAGGGTAAAAAGGTTTTCTTTGGGAATTCTGCTTTGGATGGGCTTCTCTTTCTTTCTAAGGCTGTAGTCTTGGAGAAGTGTTCATTCCTGGTAGCAAAGGAGAGAAGGGGCTGTGCACCCCTCAGATTCTCCATGCCCTGACACCCTGCTCCACTAGAGGGGGGACACACCCCCTGTATCCTGTTAAAAAGAATTCCTGTTGCTTTTAAAATCAGTTACCTCAGAGGAACTCCTTACTGGAGGCTCTGGCTGGACGTTTCGGGGTGGTGGTGTCTTCTTTGTGAGCACAATCTTGGTCACAGCCTTCCTCGGCCAAATCAGGAGGGGCTAGCTAGGAGTAACTTACCCTTTTCATGGCCCCTATTGGCCCCAGATCAGACATCTCTGTGTGTTCAAGCTGTTTTAAGAGCTGCCTGATGAAAAGACTTAATCTGTTCCTGCTTGTTGCATTATCGCAGCTTCAGGTCAAATGAGAAGCCCTGGGATGAGCAGGCAGGCCCTGGCAGGGTATAGCTGTGGAGATCCTGCTCCCCCCTCCATACTGAGAGCTCCTGAGGCTCAGGGTGGCTCCAGCAAGCTTGTGCTTGCCTGGAAAGCACAGAGAGGTGGCTGCAGTGGAGAGGCAGAGCCCTTGGGGTGCTGCAGCAACCTCGCAGGGCTCTGCCCTCCTCATGGCAGCCCCATGGATGCGGCTGCCCAGCTGCTGGGCTCGGCTGCCTTAAGCTAAGTGCGTGCAAAGCTTCTGTGCAAACCCCAGGCAACTGGAGCCAGGTAGGGCATTGGCACACACTCGCCAGCTCCTGGCATCCTGGGAGGAGGGCAGAAGGAACTGGTGTGTGTGTAAACGCAGAGGATGCTGAGGAAGCACCCCGGCTCAGGGCCACCCTGGCTGTGGGTAGGTGACAGCAGGAGTTTGCAGCAGCAGTCGGGCTGCATTGCCACCTGCTGGGGGGGACAAACCCTTTCCAAAGCCACCTCCACATCCACCCAGGCTTGGATGAGGGCAGTCTCCAAGCCCGCTCCCCTGCCAGGAGCAAGGCTCCAGCTCATTGCCTCGGCCACACAGTTCAGGCAGCTCTCCCCTCCTGCATTTACAGTTTGCTACCTTGTACTCTGCTTGATTTTGTCTTCAGGCACGGGATAGTGTTATAACTCTTGGGGGCTTGGTCTGGGTGCTGGCCTTCAGGTCAGGGCTTCCTTCCCTTGGTTGCTACAGTAAGAAAACCCCACTCAAATTTGGCCAAGTTGTGCCCTTTAAACAAACAAACAAACAAAAAAATAAAAAGAGGGGAAGGGGATAGGTGATACCATGGTGGGGATGCTGGAGAAAAGTGGAGTCTGGCTGGGTAACTCATGTAAAAGAAGCTCTGTGCCAGTAATTTTCTGCCCTACGTAGCTGCATCTCCAGCAGCAGCTTTTTGGGGCCCCAAGCCTGCCCTGTACCCAAACTGAGTGTGGGAAGGGGAGCTCAAAGAAAGATGGGCAGGGGGAACAGTAACAGATTTGTCCCCTCACACTGTCCCTGCCTTTGTCACCTCATACATCGCTGAGCCTGCTGTCGTTTCTTCAGAGCTGAAACCACAGCAGGGTTTTGTGGGGGTTGCACACCTGCAGATGCTGTTTGGCTGGCAGCATTTGGGACATTTTTCATCTTATTGGCAACAAAAATGGAGCTGGGTGGCAGCACCTTCAAGTGTGGTTTTCATTTATTTCTTGGGAGTATGCAGCACTAGGTTTTTAAACCAAAACAGCACAATGAAGTAATGTAATTTGTAGTTCTTAGTTGATGGTTACATGCGTATGCTTCTGACTACACAGTCTGTGCAACTATGGTTGTTGGAAAAAGAAAGCATCTGTGATAGAGCAGCTTTGGACTGCTGCAACACCAGGCTCAAAACTGTCTGAAGTGCCCCAGCAGCATTTACCTTCTGAAGGTGTTCTGTAACCCACAGGCACTGTCCAGCTTACGGATGCATCTGGGAACATTTCAGCAAATTCACCAGCGTGGTGGCTGTGGCTTATCTTGATCTCTTCAGAAATGAATCCTTGTCACAAAGTTGGGGGTAAAATAACCCAAAGCTTGGTCATTTTAGTGTTTTATTGAACAGCGCTCCATTTGTCAGCTGTGTCCCAGCCCTGGTGATTTACCTGATTGATGTATGAACCCTGGGACGCAGTGCTGCTGCAACATCAGGCTGCACAAACCACCTCCTCTGCAAAAGGCTGGGCTTTGAAGAAGGCAGCCTGCAGGGAATGCTTTCTACCCTTTGCTACAACAACCCTTCGCGGAGGTTCTTTCAGGTCTGCCTACTCCACTGTTAAAGAAGAGACTGCCCTGCCTTCAGACACAAGCTAGCTGTGAGCGTGTCAGCTGTGGTCCTCGGGACAAGTGCACTATGCTGGCTGGAGAGGGCTCGGACTGCTGTAGCTGCACGCCACCCTGCAGCCACTCACCTGCTTGTCAGTGCCCTCAGGCACTCACCAACTGCACCCTTGAAAGATCAAACCCATGTCCACCCCTGTGTGGGCCATGGAGCTGCCATCAAACAGCACAAGGGAATGAAGTGGAGTCAGTAAGGTCCCCTGTGCGCAGTACTTGGGTCATGCTTGGTGCTAAGAAAGTGATTGAAGGGGTCAGGTCCCCAACTGCTGCAAATTAGCATAGCATCAGCATAGGACAAGAAAGCATATTTACCCCTTGCGAGTATACGGTGTGCTGACAGGTCAAGCCTACTTAACCTAGGGCAGATTTTCCAGTTGGATGGGTACACTTTGCATACCGAACTCCAGGAAGCAGTAACAAGTGACTCAAATTAACCAGGTTCAGGAAAGCTTATTACAAGAAAGCCTTGAAACAACAGCTACACAGGCAACAGGCTAAACACTGACAGGACTCAGTGGAATACATTTCTTTTCCTATGCTGCTGCTGGCAGCCACCTGTAATATTCACATACAGTTTTAAATAAGGACTGCAAAATAAGTTTTCAAAGCTAAGCAGCAGCAACCACAGCAGCAAGCAGTCTTAGCTTACTTAAATTGGAGTTTTCCATTAAATGATCAATGGACTTCTGCAAGACAGCAAGTAAGCACAAAAACTAGTGGATTATTTATTCGTCTGTCACTGGAAAAAATGCACAAAGGAGCTATACATAATAGCCTTTGCCTATAAAGCACAGGTGTAAATTTTGGACAAAGCTTTGGCTTGTCAGTTCCAGCTGCGCCACTTGCAATCTGACATTAAAAAAACATATATAAAGACTCCACAGCCCGTCATACTCACTTCTTATGGAGCAGCCCAGCTCCTAAACTACCTACTCCATGGATGGTCAGAAAGAAAACACTTAAAAGCATATTGCAGGGCAATGGTCTCAGTATTTCATCTTTTGTTTTCTAAAGGCAAACATCCTGCAACTATTCATCAGCACAAAAGAAAAAAAAATAAAATAAATAGGCAAAGTTACATTCAATATAAATCTTTCTCCCAGAAAATGGGATACAGAAAATAGCAAAACTTTGTAGCCAACAAAATACTGTACATTTTCCCCCAGCTCCCGACTGCAGCCCCACATTTTCAAGAGACACCAGCAAACCCCGCATTCTGTGTTTTAAACTGAAACAACGCAATGAGACGACTGGAAATATTAGAGAACTTAGCGTGCCCTCTGAGGGATGGGTGGATGTTCGGTTAGGTAAACAACGATGAGTTTGGAAGGAGGAGAAAGCAGCGCAGAACTGCTCTTCCTAGTGCAGAAGGATTCAGGCAAGGAGCTGCCAAGCTCAGGTTTAGAGTTCAAATGCCGGGAACTTGGCCTTGGTTGGCACCAGCAGGTCAGCAAGGAAGTAAATGGTTCCAGCCATTCCTGAGAACAAGAAAAAAGGCAATGTGCTTCAGGAGATTCTGTATGAGCACCAATGCTATTGGTTATCTAGGGTGTGAATGAGTCAGGAAGACAGAAGAAAGGGAAATGTTTTCAGAAGGACCTCAAATAATTTCCAAAGTTTCCCAAGCAGCTTATGTACTTCTGTAGGTAGAGCCACCTACATTTAACATTAATCAAATGTTAAAAAACACCTGGGAAAACATGATGGGTCACCCCACTTCCAGCCCCATCATTTCTGGCTTTACCTGGCTTAAGAATCTGAACATCTTTGCAAAACTTTGGACCCTGTGATATCCTCACTGATGCAGCTGCCCTTGTTTGCTGGCCTGCAGCGAAGCTGGGGAGACTTAGGTTACCTGGGGAACCAGTTCTTTCAGCAACACCTGCTGACGGCAGGCTTTTGGGGAGCCTTTAGCAGGAGTGACAAAGTGCTACGGGAGCCAAAAAGGCCTACAAATGCAGCCTCACTTGTTCTTCACTCATGTTTGAAATAGAACTGGAAAGCCTATGGAGAATTTTAATCCTTAAAAAGGCACAGAGGAGAGATTGCCTGAGAAGCCAGGCTACCATAAGGCAGACTTTGACCTGCACCCATTAATGAATTCCCCTTGAGATCTGCATGCAGAATCTGTGCAGGAGGCCCAAGAGGACAAGATGCTCCCTCTAGCTGGAGCTCCTGGCCTGTCTTACAAGAATCTGCTTCTGGGAAAGAGTAAAATCAGCGAACACAATTTCCCTCCCATTCTTTATCGAGTTTTGCAAAGCCCTCAGTGGATCATGCATTCAGTTTTTTTTCTGTGCGGGACTGGCTCAGGCCCAGGAGCAAAACACAAGCTCAGAAATGGAGGTTACCTTCAAAGAGTGAGAACGGCGTATCTGGAGTCCGACACCCGTGTTGACCATAGCTTAAACACCACTCGGCAAACTGGGAAAAGAGGAACAAAAAGCATATAAATTTTCCTGGAGATGTGTCGTAAAACAAATACCACCCTCATCTTCACTTTAACCCTTTGCAGAACAAGGCTTCTGCAGGATATTCCTTCTGTGCAGGCTGTCAGGCAATGACCTGCACTGCTCGAGGACTATGCTGGTGGAACTGGTCAGAGCTAGCTGCACCTCTGCCATGCTGGAAATGAGGTTTCAAAGGAAAAGGCCATGATGTAAAATATGCAAAAGAGAATAATTCTCTCCCTTCCTCACGCAGGCTCTCACCTTGCAGGCCCTGTACAAGTATTTCATGTTCTGAGTGAGGTTGTACAGTGCTAGGAAACCATAGGCATTGCCGGCCGTCCCGTGACAGAGCCCGTAGCCCTTCTTCAGTAACCCGTACTGCCAGATCACTTCTGCGCACTGCAGGGCATCATTTAGGTACTGCTGCTCCCCAAACACCTGTAGAGACACAAAATATTCCCCCACACTGAGGCAATTTCCTCCACACAGAGAGAGCATCCCTGCGTGAGTGGGGTGGCCTGGGTTAATTAGCTCCTCTCCTGCCTACCAGTGTGACTTTGCTGCCTGTTTTGGAGGATGTTTGGATGTGATGGATGGAGCTGTGTGACTGTTACTTACCATACAATTAGCTATCACCATCAGCCACCTGCAACGGGACACCCTGCAAGACTGATGGGTTATTTTCAGAAATAAATTAAAAAAAATGTAATTTAATTAATTTTAAAAACAATTTAATTATAAAAATAATTTTTAAAATGAAGTCTTTAAAACACGAACTGCCGCAGTCAGTGGGCCCTGCAGGGTGATGATGTTATTTCTTTGTAAGAAGCCATCCTGCTTTCAGGCAGGAGGGTCTCGCATGTTTTCTGCATGATGAAATTCCACATTTAGGGGCCCCCAAAGGATCTTTGCAAGATTTCCGGTACCTTGTAGGCCTGGAGAAGCATGTAGATAACACCCGGTGCCCCATGGCACCAGTGGACGAGTAGGTCTCTGGTATCATCGATGCAGGGAGGGTAATTTCCTGATGGGAACTTGAGCTGGCAGACGTAATCCACGCTGGGTTTGACTGCATTGTGCAGCTTTACTTGGCTCACTCCCAGGCCAGGCTAAAAGAGAGAAAGTGTTAAATCCGGGAAACCATTCTGTCCCTCCCTAAAAGGTCCAAAATCCACTTGAAAGATAGAAACAAAGCCACCTATGGCTATGTCCCTTCTTGCTCCTTGTAAATGAAGTGTTTTCTTTAGCCCAGGCTTTCACGTGTCCCAAGTACCTGCTTGGCCCCAGGCTGCCCTTCAGCAGGGACTCGTTCCCAGATACCTCGTGTATCCCCAAAACAAAGACTTCTCCAAGAATGTGATGCAGCCCTCAAAGCAAGAGAAGAAAAGTCTTTTCCTGAAGATAAGTAAGAATAGTCTCAGGTACCCAGCTTTGGAGTAAAGAGGTAAATTGTATAAAAACAGCATTAAGGGTGAATACCAGGAATGATTCCAAGCACCTCAGCTCGGAGCTGCTGGGCCACCCCTCCGGAGGGGTGATGTTGTGTTTTCACAGATGTTTCTAGCTAATTGCAAGGCCTCAGATGAGAGCAAGAGAGGGGCTTCGGTTTCCCCTCCAAATGACACTGCCCGGTACGAAAACTGCACAGCTCTGACCTCCTGCGGCAGGCTGCAAGGAGGACTCCAATCTAGGGATCACGCTGTTCCCAGGCTGATGCCTTGGAAATAAGAAGTCAATACTTGTGCTGTAAAAGCACTGGAGATAAGGAGTCCAACATCCTCCTCTGTGTACCCCTTGTCTGCTTCCCCCCAGGTTTTCTGTACGTTATGCTCAGCTCGTCTAGGCTCCTTGTGCTTCACACAGCATGGCATTTTATGGGAGACTCCGACTTTACAAATTTTAAAACAGCCTAAAACTCAGTGCAAATCTGAGCTCACAGCAGCACACTGCTGTCTTCCTTGCCCCCAGTCAGCTGTTCTTTACTCCTGGGCAATAATCACCTCCCATCCCTCTTCTGCAAAGCTCCTTCTGCTTCAAAAGCACCAACCACCCCTTACTCTCTGAGTCATGTAAGAGAGTTAAATTCACAGGAACTCCGCTCCTGCATACAGGAATTAACTTTGAGGCTCCTACTTCAGACGTGAAAAAAAGCTCAAGCCCTGGTGAATTTTTTCCACCTGCTGTGAGTTAGGTCTAAAAAAAAATAATACCCCAACCCCCCCCCCACCTATATCTATGAACCTTGCTATGTTAAAATAATTTGCATCGCTCAGTGGGCGCTCTTAATGCTTTGAAGATGCAATGTTGTTTATTGCTGTTATTACAGAGCTTAAGCACTGTAAATTTATGCACAAGGTGACCCACACAGGGGAATTATCACGCTGATTTCAGAGCTAGGGCAGGGAAGATTCCCAGAACTCTGCTGAGTTGTATAAAACTGTAAGAAAGACAGCTTCAAAGCAAAAAGGCACTGCAGCTCCCAGCTGCTTTATGGAAGTAAAAAGTCCCACAACTTTAACATTTAGATAGAAGGCCTGACCTTGGAAGGCATTTCCCACTTTTCTTCTATGCATACGATCTCTTTCACCATGTTTTTGTTACAGGTTATTGTTCTGTAACGATCTGAGATTGCTCCAAGTAACCAACTCAACAAAATAATGCAGAAAGCCCCCAGATACCAACAAAGGGAAATACATTATAAAGATGTCTTGCCTAGCCTGACACCGCCCTGAGCCTATTCAGATGCTCCTTCTTGTAGGAAAGTGAAACAAGTGCTACCAGCCTCTCCCCTCCAAGTGCGTCTTACCTGCATGAGATAGTAATAAATGCCAGCCAAGCCATGGGCTGCCCCGACGTAGTACTCCTGGTACCACTCATACATCAGTGGGCTCTTAGTGGTAAAATTCCTCCTTTTGGCCAAGCTCTCTCCAGAGGCCACAACTGCTTCGCAGACCTGTGGGTGGGAAGATATGTGGGTGAGGGAAATGCTGCTGTCTTGGAGCCAGCACAATGGGTATCCCGATAAAGAACAAAGCTGCTTTACTCCCCTGGTGCAGGGGGAGGAGGGGATGTACTGCTGCTTCTCTTAAAAAGAACAGCAGGAGGGAAACCTCAAGGTGGTTTCTCACTTGTTGCCAGAATTGTCTGCATCTGGCACTGATTTTTTACCTGCTCAAAGGTGAGCGGGATGGGAAGAGACAGCTAACAAATCAGCAGATGGCTAATTCAGCCTCTGCTTTTGAGAAGCCGCAGTACCTGCTGGATGTGACTTGGAGGGATCTTTTCCTCTCCGAAGTGCTTGTTCACAAAAAGCAGTGCATAGAGGTAGCCCATGCGGCCATACAGCAGTTCGTCTGGCACTCGGGGGTCAACCTTGTGTAGGTGGAGCAAACTATAAAGAAAAATTCACGAGGGTGATCAGAGGACAATCAAAGCCATGTACACAAGTTGTGAGACTGGAGCTAAAAAAAAAAAACAACACTAAAAAAAACACAACACAAAACAGTTTGTCCCCTACTCCTGCCCACGCCCTGAGATCTGTCAGACAAGTCCCTGTGTCTCAGCATTCCAGTTATGCAGGGTACAGAATCCCTCCTTCTCCTCTGCTTTTTGTTTGGCTTAATGCTTTAGTCTGTTTAGTTCCCTGCAATGCTGCATGCTGGAAAGTCAGGCTAGTGCTGCAGGTATGTGAGAAAAGCTCACCCCTTATTCTCCAAAGTCCTGACAGCAAAGCCCCTTTACTGCCATGCCTGCAGGGGTCCAGAGCTACGCCGTCAGTGGAGGGAGAGGTGCTGGCGTGAGCTAGAAATCTAGGTAAGAGGTGGGGAGAAGCACCTGGACATGTTGTTTAACATCAAGCTTCTGTAGGACATGGAAGAAGCCTTCTCTAGGAAGAGTTAAACAACAGTGGGCAGCTCAGGAGAGCGTGAGTGCTGTGGGCTGCCTGTGGGGCAGCCCCACGATGACAACTGCTGGGTTGGCACCAGGCTTTAGCCCACAGCTGCAGAGTGGGAGCTCTGCTGCAGTCTGAAACTTTCTGAGCCATTTTCCTGTTATGGTGTTGCGAAGCTGGTGATATTCCCGTTGTGCTAATGGTGACAGAGCTCTTCAGGATGGTACTCCATAGTCCAATTCACTCTCAGCACAAGTCTTCCTTTTTGCCCCTCTGCACACTGTCCTCAGGGCTGGAGGTCCTGCCGTGTCAGAGCAGCAGGCAGGGCTGGGACTGGTTCTGGCTTTATTTTCCTGTTCGTCTCCGAGAAATGATGGCAATCTGAAAAATGCCATCACTTTTGAAACACCACCAAAAGCAGCTCCAAGGCTGTTTCTTCAGCTGATTCCTGCTGCAGTTGCAAGAGGGAAAGGGCTAAAACAGGAGAGCACTGTGTGCAGGGCTTCCCCGTCACAGCAGCGTGAGGAACAGAAGATGCACTTTGGCAGCCCTTGCTCCCAGGCAGAACTAGGTGCTGTGAGGGAAAGAGGCAAGCAAATGTCCCAGGTACCCTCAAGGCAGAGAGAGGACACTGGGCTCTGACTCCTTTTGGCAGGAGGGTTTCCCTTGGCACTGGACTCAAAGTGAGCAGAGATATCAGAGGAGAAAGGAGAGAACAACATCTCGAGGTGGATTGGCCCTGTCTCCTCTTGCATCGCTCCCCGGGGAGGTTTCTTGCGGATTAAACCCAAGAGACAGCTTTTGCACACAAGGCTAGGAATAACCAGGGGCCTGGCAAGCCTGTCTGGCAGGGATCCTGCTCCCAGCTGCGTGGGCTGAAGGGAAAGCCCTGCCGCTTCCCCGTGTCCTCTGTCCCCACGTCCAAGGAAAGCAGATAACAAGGAGGGCTTCCAAGGAGGAAGGCGGCGCTTCAGCAGATGGGCAGTGCCCAGCAGCAGGCTGGCAGGAACAGATGCTGTCTGGTGATGATGCTCAGCTCTGAGGATGTCAGGAAAATGTCAGGTGCAATAGCAGCAATGGGTGGCTGGATATAAAGTAACACCCATGCTAAGGATTTTCAGCAGTGTGGATGTAAAATCTTCTCTTACTGAGGAAATCTGGAGCAGCTGGAGCTACTGTTCTTGCTCCCTTCACATTTCTGCTTCTAGCTGCCTTCCCAGCCAGGGCCATCAGGGAAGAAGCTTGCCAGCAGTTTCTGTCCTTTTAGATCCACGGGGCAGGGCTGCACAGCATGTGCGCAGTGAGATACCCAGGCTGCTGCTGTACAGACTACAAGCCAAACGTGTTTTTCAGGTGTGAGGGGGATAAAAAAAAAAGGGCCCTGAACGAAAGAGCCACTGCTCGCAGATCAGGCTGTTATCTCAACTGCCACAAATCACTAGTGTCTGGTCAGAGGGAAAGTGAGGTAGCTGCAAAGCAAGAGGGGGGATTTGTAAGCCACTGGCTCTAAAAGCACACCGCTGACCTGCTGAATTGGTGGGGGACAGCAGGGAAAAGAGCTCCTGGAACACAGCTCAGATTTTCACACGGTCTCGGAAAATGGGCTGCCCTGAAACGTTACTCTCCTGAGCATAAAAGCACATTTCTTGGTCATGAACTCATTTAGGCAACAGCAAGGAAGAAAAGTAAGCTCCTGTCTTTCCTACTGCAGGGAGAACCTGGCTGGTGAATTCTCTCCTCAGCACCTGAAGATGCGCTTTAAAAGGCAGAACACAATGGAGAGAGGCTCTCCTTCCCCACAGCTGTAACAGAAGTCCACTTTCCAGACACTGCATAACTTAGCAACCCTTCTGTAACTAAACAGCATATTCAAAACCCACTGAAGAGCTTTGATCAAGGGAACTATTTCTCAAAGAGAAATACTCTCTTTTTAAAGGTAGCATGGTCAGGCTAACTGCTCTGGGAATTGGTGGTAGAGCAAGGACAGTGTAAATGTTCCTTCAAAAATGCCACAATTCTCTCTTTCTTCCACTCAGATGTATGAAGAAACCCATTTCCAAGGCTCTACCCTCATTATGCCATTAGATGGCAGTGCAGGATTAATCACGAGTTTCCATTCTGCCACAACACCGTAAGCAGAACAGTAGGGATATGTGAGGGGGAGATTACAGCAAGAAAAATCATGGATTTTCCATAACTTGGGGCTTATGTACTGACCACAACTGGCTGCTAATAGTTGACAGATCAGTTGCCTTGTTAGCAAATACATTAGTCATAGTGAGATTCATCACTTGGACACAGTCTTAAGGAAAATCCAAACCACAGAGTATTTTAAGAATAAAAAAGGGAGATCTGTCTTCAGACTGACCGCATCTATGGAAATGAGAAGCTATTCTTAGTTGAAGGAGTGGGAACTGGGTGCCCAAGTCATACTGGACCCTCAGATAGCCATTCCTGACGTTTTTAATCCGTATCATGCACGATGTGCTCATGGCTGTTTTAAGGACATTCAGCGTCATTCTGAAGTGCCTGGGATTTGTCTTGTTTGTGTGCTGACCACTCCTGAACAGCATCGCTGCGCAGGGCTGTTTCTCACCCTCTCAAACTTATCTCCCTTAAGCAAGAAAGAAGATTGCAACTGCAATCTCCTCCTCTCTTTTTCTTTCCTTCCTCTGCCATTTGCTGATCTGATTGTAGGACTGCTTCTATGTCCTGTTTTTTCTTAAGTATCCAACAAAAATACATCTGAAAACAGTTGAAGGAAGGCAGGAAATAGAAATAAATGAATCATAACCAGCTGCATTCAGCAGTTGAAAAGGATGCTGTCAATCGTAGGTCTAAGTCAAAGCCAATTAACAAATAGTAAGTGGAAGCAAGTGACACATTTCTCCTTTTCCTCAAAATGGCAGTAAAGCTAAATTTAAGGGTTCCAAAAAAATCCCAAACCTCCCATTAGTTTTATTTATTTATTTTTTAATTTGGGCATTTTTTTCCCTGTGTTACCTGAATTATTTCTGAAGTGGCAATGCCAGCTAAGCACTATCCTTGCTCCCCTACCTGCAGCCCCAGCCAGGCAAGCTTCTTCAGGGCAGACGTTTGCAGTTGCCTTGCTATGTGAATGGATTCCCTGCCTCTAAGACTGCCAAATTCTACTCAGGCTTGGAGGAGAGGGCCTGGAACAAGCCCAGACCAGTTCTACAAGCAAGTGCAGGATGAACATCAGGTCGAAGACATAAGCACGCGTTTTACCGAGTGATGCAGTCTTCTGACTGCTTCTGGTTCTGCAGTTTGTGGTAGACGACAGCAGCCACTGCCAGAGGCCCGGCATCGCCACACAGGAACGTGATGGATCGTTTCGTCAGACAGCTCAGGCTCTTCTTCACGTACTCCTGGGCCACCTGGAGGTAGGCTGGGTCTCCGTACACATCATAGAGGTGCAAGTACAGCAAGGCAATGCCTGCAAAAGGAACACTAAGATTGTAACCCTCAGAAAAGTTTGCGTCTTGGTTGATTTAACAACACTAAAAGCCTGGCCCTCAGCCTCATCTTAGGCATAACCCCTGGCGGCAGCATCCACACCTTCTTTTCCTGCTTTGTGACCTCTTTGTGCCTCATGCCACTCCTGAGTGGGCTGCAAGTGGACAAACAGCAGTGTCTGACCCAGGAAGGCCTGGAGGACAGCAGAGCCTCTGAAACACAGGTTACATGCTATTTTAGTAGTTGGGAGCAAAAGAGGAGACCTAGACAAAGCCACCTAAACCTACAAACTGTGCCTGGGACTGTGTTGCAATACAGTGAAATTAAAACAAAACAAGCCACCAAAACAGCAGAAAACATCAGGCAAGACAGGACTTGTGGCAGAGTGGTGCTGAGCTGTTTCCCTGTCTCAGCTGCTCTTTCCCATGCCAGGAGGTGAAGGGCTGGGTCCCTTAGCTTGGATCTGATTAAAGTGACAGATCATCAGCACTGAGAAGCATCCTATTAGGCTCTTTTTTTATTATTATTATTATTTTTTATTTTTTTTCTCTTCCCACTGGGAAGCATGAGCAAGACTGCTACACCTCTGTGGACACCAGCTGCTGATGAACAGGTCCCAAGCCCTACTAGAGGGGCTGGTGCATCCTACAAAAGAGAAGAGGCTGCACATTGTTGTCAAGAGTAGCCCTGGTCTGAAAAAGATAAGCTACCTGGAATGCTGGAAATGGCTGCGTGGTCTTCCCTGGATGTTTTCAGTGGGGTGGGCAGTTACAGAAAGAGCTCTGCTACTAAGAAGTCGCAGCAATTGCTGTCTCTGGGCTCTGCCTGCCCTGCCTTCATCCAGCTCTTGAAGCTTTTCGTATGTAGCTGCATTTGAAAGGTCTGCCGTTCAAACATCCTTCTGATCTGGAAAGCATTCTCAAACATGCACTGGAGAAAGCTACTGGTCTGTATCCCTCTGAGAAAGGCTCCTTTCTCTCCTCACCAGCAACTATTTCTGTGAAGCCATAGATTCTGTGTTTAAGCCTAAATTAATTGAGCCAACCTCTGCAGATTTTGGTGTTGCAAGGAGGGTAGGGAGGAAGAAACATGCTGCACAATTACTTTCTACGGTACCGAGGACAATTTTAAATTTAGATCACTTTCTCATTTTGCACGGGTAATCTCCAAAGCTTCGTGCTACAGACAATTCAATTTCACATGTATATTAAGGGCAAATTTCCATTTCCCGCTGAAGTTAATAACCTTGTCCTCTCTCAAAGCAGTTTAGTGTCAGTATTTCCAGGGAGAGAAGCCCAGCTGCATGGTACCATCACTCAGCTTTATAAGGACGTGGACATGAAGCCCTGCTTTAAGGAGAACCCTCCTCTTTCAGCCAGCAAATGCAAAGCAACTCTCCTTGATTTATTTAGCACCTAGCACAGCCTCTAGGCTCTTAATAGGCCTGATAGCTGTCTGAGCACAACTTGCACACTTGAGTTATCTGCTTTAATATACAACTTTTTGCTTTCTAAGTAGCTTCTATTCCCACCACCATCATACCACCCTAATTATGTACGTAACTACCACACCAAGAATGATGCTAGGACCGAATTCTGAGAAAGTAAATGTCTCACCATTGTTTTCCTCTGACTTCCTCGCCTCTCCTCTTTTAAACATTTCTCATCCTCCTTCCCTCCCAGCCCAAGCATTCTCCAACAATCGCTCTTTAGGAAAAGACTCCAAAAAACATTAATCTACGTGAAGGGATGGGAGTAAAAGCTTTGCTTGCCCAAATCATTTGTCTTTCCTTCTTCTTTAAAAAAGAAAAGCTGTCAAACTGCATCTAAAGACAATTTTCTCAACTCATGCCTCAAGGAACTCATGCTCCCAGGACGATCAGCAGGGCACGAGGCAGTGCTACCTGCGAGCCCACAAGTAGGGAAAACCGGCAGAGAGCAGAAGCACGCACAAAAACGCGGTATTTCCAGATGCATGTAGAAGGATACCAAACGCAGCCACCTGTGTGGGAAATGTTGCATACTGACCTGCCTGCCAAGATGCAGATGGTCATTTCAGAGGCAGCGCGGTTTGCAGACAAGAGTTTCCCCCGATGGAATTGGCTCAAGTAAGCTGTGCTGCTCTGCAGAAGTTAACCCATGACTCTGCCTCGAGCCCTCTCCGCTACCTTCCTCACCCCAGCTGTGAGGTTTGTGGGGTTTGCAGGCTTACATGATGGGTTTTTGGTATGCTTTCCGTGCCATACAAACATCGCATCCCTGATCAAACGGGACCCTGTAGACAGTGGATCTGCTCCACCACCATGCACCTTGGAGGTCTGTGCTCAGTGTCACAGCTGGAAGTGCCTGTGACCTGTTTTTGTGACCTCTAAGACCCCGATTGTTCCCAGCAGAACTGCCACACTGCAGCTGTCATCTGCTACTGCCAAAAATTTATGGGCTTTGTTCTCTGTTATCAGTTATCATTGGTCTTTCCTCTCTATAATTTCTCCAGACTACATTTTTTTCTCCTTGCAGTGTAAGGCCTTGCTGCATACCCACAAGTGACAGAGAATGCATCAGACATCACTTGGTGGTGCAGGACAGCGGTGAACATGTGAGTTATCGACAGCACATCCTTTTAGTAGGGCTCTGATAACTAAAACTGCCATCCCTAGGGTGCAGGGAGCCAATGCACTGGAGAAAGAATGACCGAGACACCTGCTGGCTGCAGAAAATCACGAGGCAAAAATCAGTTCTGTATCTCACATCAAAGCCTCTTTATTTAACATCTTCACTAGGACGGTAAGCAGCATCTCTCTCCTCTTGCCATCCGGTATCAGCAGATGCAGAGGGTTGCTTTGTGTTAAAGGCTTCTTTTGGGGAGGCATAGGAGGAGACTTAAATGCACGCAGTGGGAACAGATGTGTTTGCATCAATCACGTCATGCTGATGGTCCTGATTTTAGAAGCCATTACCTCCAACAGAGCAGACATTGCTGTAGACAGAAGACAAGTTCTTGCTGGAGAACTAAAGTGCTGCAACAGGCTGAAAAAAACAATCTCTCTCTACCATATGACCATTCTGTTGGTCAAACAGAAGTAAAGCTCTGTCTGGACTTGCCCCCAGGTTCCTTCTGTTGGGTTGCACTACCACTGCCAACAGCTCTGCTGGCGGGAGACAGCAGTGAGACAAAGCTTCCCCCTCGTGCTGGATGAAGGTGAGAAGGAAGCACTGCTTGGTGTCAGCTCTGCTGCAGTCCCCTTGTTGACAACAGCGGGGGGATGCCCACGAGACTGCTCTGTATGTGCCTCCTTTCCTTTGGGGAAGGCCCACGCTGGGTCAGCTGCTGCTGCCTGACAGCTGCTTCCCGTTCAGGTGCTGGACAACACCAGCAGCTGACCCAGCGTGGGCCTTTCCCAGAGGTCCCCAGGTTGGCACAGGAGGAGATTTCTGGGTCACTCAGCCAGGCCGTACCCTTAAAGCAGGATGTCAAATCTAGAGGGAAGAAGCACAACATGATCTCTGCACGTAGCAAGAAAGCCTGATGGTTTTTAGTGGGAAACCTGATGACATTTTAATGAGTCAGGCATGGGGTGAAAGTTACAGAGGGGGTGGAAAAGCTCTACTGCCCAGCTCAAAGGATAATGAGCATCTTTTCTGGTGCAGAGGTGTGGGATGTTATTTCACACTCACAAATTCATGTCAAAGGCGTGTTGAATGGGAAAATGAGCTGTCTTCTATAGAGGGTCCATTGTCCTGTGTTTGAAACTGCCTGGGGGCTCACAGGTGCATTTTATTGCAGCTTGCCTTCCTAGTGTGTTGTGGGATATGTGGGATATGGGGTGTCTCTCAGGATGCCTCAGATTCTCCGAGAAGAAAACCTGGTAATAACACTTTTGTAAAACTTACTTTTCTCCTTCTGAGAAAAAATAAAAAAAATAAACAACCCAGCCCAAACCAAAATACCCTTTACCTCATCACCAAATCCTAGAAGAGGCTGGGTTAGAAGAGACAGACAGAGGTCAACACCTGGAATTAAAGCCAACTTCAAAATTACACCTCATTGCTCAGAGCCTTGTCCAGTCTAACACTTAGCATCTCCAAGAATGGAGACTGCACAAAAACTGCCCAGCAGGCACCTGGCAGGATGTGGCTTACGAGGGGGACATAAAACATTCTCTCTCCTCAGATGTAGCCCCACTGCGTTTTACTCTGTAAGGATTGTCTGAGCATTTCTGTTTTTCTGAACAGAGCTGTAAGGGGATGCAAGTTCTCTGGGTTATGAGGTTAAAACTAAGATATCACACTGAAGTGAACAAAAGGCATTTTTCCAGAACCTCTCTTGAACTGGTACAGTCAGAATTTCTACTCGTTCTTAAGTGGCTTTTCTTTCATCTGGCGTGTTCTTTGAAGAGTCCTTTCAAAAGGCAGCTCAGCCCTTCTCTGCTCCACTTGCCCAGAGGCCAGCTGAAAGCTGTGGCAGGGGCAAGCCACCTGGACTCACTGGTTTGGTTCAAAGGCCCTCAAGCTCTAAAAGCCATGGCTAGTACACGGCTCAGGAAGGGAATGCTTGCATGGGAAACAAATCCCAAAAGCACTGGCAGAATGGACGGGCAGGACAATCTCTCCCTTCCACAGCATTTCAGAGGGCAGACCACCTCATCATCTTGGGACATCAACAGCCAACAGGGAGCAGACTCGAGAGCTTCCCAGCTTTTGTAGTCAGCAAAGAGGTGCCAGCAGTGAAGTCAGACTTGTTCCATTTCTTTTCCACCATCTGTCCATCCAGTCTAGCTGGTCTTTCAAGCACAGCCTCCTGCACTACAAGGAAGACCACCACATACCTGTAACTCTTAGGCATCATCATGTTTGACAACAGGCAAGAGTGGCATACTTCTGCAAGGATTTGAACCGCTTCTGATTCAAAATTAACTTCGGGCAGTTTACCTTCCCTCGGTCAATACTTTGATACCAGTGAAACAGATTAAGACCGCAGAAACTTTTGCAGCAGTCTAGCTAAACTGATTATAAGAGAAAACGAACACAACAGCTGAGCCTGCTCTACAGCCAGGCACGTACCAGGATTTGCCTACAGGGCCCTGATCTCTCCAGGGAACTGAATGAAACCGTAACAAGCAGATTCAAACGTGTTTTGAGGGCATTCAGCTGTACACTGCATAATCTGGATCCGAAGTGCACTGTCACTGCCTCTGAGCTGAAAATGCAAGTCCTACCTTCCCTCTGCTCCAACTTCACGTGCCAAGAAGCTGTGGCTGTGTGGGGGAACAGGGCTCTCAAGTGCGTTGGGAAAGAAATAGGCACCAAAGCAAAATGCCAGCATATGCTGTGTATTACAGGGTGTAATGTAGTACGCTCAAGTATGTTACATTTCACACAGAGTTTACGCTAAGAGAGGCACATTTCAAATCTCCCTTATTAGCGGCCACAAGAGTGCGGGTTGATTTCAGACTGCTGGGCAATGATTTACATGAGAAGATACTCAACAAGCCTCTTCTACTTAAGCAATTAAGGGAAAAAGCTGCTGTCTTGGCCCAATTAATTTGCTCTCTGGAAACCAGCACTGAATAAATTAATATAGCTAGGATTAGAAAAGAAAGGAGGATGACTCACATACAGCGTAATATCTGCAAACTTCACTTCTCTGGCTGTGACCCGCAGGAAATCTGTCCACAGGCTTTTTCTAATCCTATTAGCCAAGGCAAGAATGTTGTATGCCCAATGAGGAATGATCCCAGGGAGGAAAAAAAAAAAAGAGAAATGCCTCTCAAGAAACCGCTTTCCAAAATAATAAAAAAATAAATTAAAGAAAAAAAGAAAGCAGAAATCCTACCAGAACTCACAGCCACTGTCACTTTCCAACATGAGGTTCCTTAAGGCCACCCTATGAAAAGGGAAGTGTTTACCTTCCCCCTGCAGACTTTCAGCTGGCTGTCCTCCTGCTTTACCTCCTGAATTCCTCTGGCCAGAGGTAGACTCTGCTGCCAAGCCAAGCAGCAGCATCACACCTGAAGGCCATCAACACATCCAGAGTGCTCTTCACACAAAGGGAGCTGAGGGAAGGCTGAACCCCTCTCTCCCAGGATAAGCTCAGCCAGTACTGAACAGAAATTCACACACAGCAGCAGCAAAGTGCTGCCAAGCAGCAAATGAAAAGAAAAAAAAAAATAATAGAAACACACAATAGTCTTCTCCCACGCTGGAATTCAACAGTGGCATGGTAGCATTTCTTATGAACTGTGTTGGAGTGGTCTTACTGCTTGTTTACCTTACCAAAATTTTCAAGCAGCCATTTCTGGCACTGCTTTCACCAAGCTGCAACGTTAGCTTAGCATCAACACAATGATCACTATTCTTCTAGCAAAATGTTGGCATCAAGTTCCATTGCATCTAAGCACAAACCAGCCATGCCCAGATTATAGCATGGAAAATTGCCATTTAGGATCGCAATGTATTGAGGAAAATAAAAAAAAAAAAAGCCATGACAGCAAAAAAAAAATCCTTCAGCAGTCACAAAAATACCTGCACCTATCTCAAGATCCCTCCCTAGAGCCTGGCACAGCGCAGAAAGAAGCGCCTTGAAAGCTGACAAAGCACACAGCAGAATCCAAAAGTCAAAAAGGATGAGGCAGAGAAATGTGTCCTCCCTGCCTCCAGGGGGTAGGAATAGGGTGGGGAAGGTAGGGCACGCTCCTAAAGTAGGAAGAACAGGTTGAAAATGCACCACGGGAAAAAGACAAACTCCTGGAAGCTTAGGATAGAAGGGTTTGTGCGAAGAAGGCTTCCATCCACAGTTATATTTGCATTTCTGCTCCCTCTAACAGCTCCTAGAGCAGAACTAGCCCTGGCTGAGCGGAGGGACACTACCTGGGGAGAAGGAATGGTGCAATTTGACAATCAAACATCGTCACAAGATAAAACTCAGCCCAAGCCAAAAAGATGGACATTAGTTCAGGCTCTAAGGTCATGCCTGCCACTCTGCAAGAAGCCCTTACAGGGAAATGGCCTGCTATGCACACAGGCGTACTTCACAGAGCAGTAGTTATAAACACCCTCAGCACAGCTACATTTGGAACCAGTCTCTTCGAAGGTTCCAATATTTGCTTTCAAGAAGATGCATTTCAATCCTCTCGCTTTATTTGTTGCGGAAGCGTGGCACTGTTACTCAAGATCTAGTCTTACTTACCTTGCAATGCTATGGTCCTCCCTTTGCAGTTTGAGTTCTGCTGCCAAAAAAAGGTGAGTCACTGAATGACAACCCCTTGGTTTAACAGATTAAACCATCGTGCGGGAGAAGTGCCATTCACAATACGAATCTACTGTCGTCAAACTACAAAGGAACAGGGGCTGACTTAGCTTAACCTTGAGGACAGTTTCAGAGGGGTCGAGCTCCCTTCTGACTAGATGGCTGCTGATTTTTGTGCCCAGGGGGCCACCCTACCTGTCCAGCCAGTGTAAGCTGTGCAGTCGTGGGGGTCAGCACACTTGAGGCCCCTTTCCATCTGCTGGAGCAGCTCCCTTATTTTGTTGTTCAGACGCTGCGTGAACTCAGGCGTCAGCTGTGCGGAATCAAGAAACACCAGAGAAAGGCAACATCAGCACACCGGGAAGGTCTTGGAAAATGGCTGAACGCGTGTGAAAGCGCCTGGGGGCACACACCAGGGATTTTCTCCAGCTGCTGGCAGCATTCATCTCCTAGCAAATACCCAAGAAGTCTTTGCCGGCGACTGTTACCCCATGCCCTGCCCTGAAGCTGCAGTGCCAGCACCTGTAAGGCCTCAAAGCCATGCTGGAGGAAGACAATTTCTTGTCCTGGCTTTAAACCACAGCCAGAGATGGGCAGGTTGGAAGCTATCTTAGAAGTCCTGGGCACCTTCTTCTTTCTGGAAAGCTCTGCTGGGATAGGATTGTCAGGTCTTTAACCTCTCAGGAACAGCTGGGCCACCACACCACGCCAGAGAGAGTGAAAAACCTACAAAGGGTTTCTGTCACCTCAGGTTTTGCCAGTGCCAGGGGAGATGCTCCGATAACCATCCACCTTGAAGGAGGACACAGCAGCCGAGCTCTTGCCTTACCATGGGCACATGAGGACCGCGACACCACATACTCTCACCCCCTACCACACAGCCCCTCGGTACAAAACACAGTCACCGAGATCACCCCGAAACCTTTTATTTTGCTTTAAAAAAAGGCTAGAAAGCCCACTTATTTTTTGCTGTTGCTTAATAAAGCCCACCCTGGGAGCCCCCCCAGGGCACTCCCCAGCCTGAGGGGCTTCTCCCCGCAGCCCCCGCCGGGCGCGGCGCCGCGCTGAGGAGGGACTCGGCGGGCGGCCGGGGCAAAGCGACAACCCCCGGCCGCTCCCCCCCTCACCCAGCCCGGTCACCGCGGCCCCACTCACCCGCCCGGCGGCATCGAAGTAGCCGGTGGCCAGGGATTTATCGTAGTCCGCGTAGGGGTTGGGCAGAGCCCGCTGCGCCATCATGGTGCCCGCCGCTCGCTGCCCGCCCCGCCCAAATGGCGGCGGCCGCCGGGAGGCTGTGGGAGGCCGGGCCGGGGAACGCCGCCCCACAGCGCCCAGCCCCAGTCCCAGCCCTATAGCGATGTGTGGGGCTTGGGTTGCGGGCTGAGTCCCCGTGTGGGGCCGGATCGCAGGGTTTTAGGGGTCCTCTGAGGCTTTGGGAGCCATTCTGGCTGGCTCTGAGGGACGTAGGACGGGGGAGTTTGTGGGTGCCTTGCTGCTGGCTCTGTGGGGGTTTAAGGATCCTCTGGGACTCCCTGCAAATGTTCCTGTGGGGTTTGGGAACTCTGTGAGGTTTAGGGGATGCCTTTTGGCTGGACCTGTGTGATTTCAGGGCCCTGTCTACCTGGTTGCTTGGAGTTTGTAGGTGCTGTGTGGTTTAGGGCACTGTTTGGCTGGCCCTGTGGCGTTTAGGGGGCCCTGTGAGGCTTAGGCTGTGTGGTAGCTGCATGAGGTTAAGGGTCCTGGTGGGGTTTAGGGGTCCCATGTGTTGGGCCCTGTGGGGTTTGCAATTCCTGTGGGGCTTGAGGCTCCTTTCAGTTAATGCCAAGGGACTTTGGGGGCCCTGTGAGGGTTTGGGAGCCATTTTGTCTCTCTGAGGGATGTGGGGAATTCATGGGCACCTTGCAGCTGTCCCTGTGGTACTTAGGGGCTCTGTGGGACTGAGTGGTTCCCTGCAGCAATTCCTGTGGGGTTTGAGGTATATTTTGATTGTTTCAGTGGAGTTTGGGGACCCTGGAGGGTTTGGGCAATACCTTTTTGCTGGACCTATGTGATTTGGGGGCAATGTCTATTTAGCTGTGTAGGGCTTGCAGCTGCTGTGAGGTTTGGGGCACCTTTTGGCTGGCCCCAAGGGGTTTAGGGGGTTCCATTGGGTTTAGGGATCCCCTTTTGTCTGGACCTGTATATTTTATGGGTATTATGTTGCAGATCCTGTGGCATTTAGGGGGCCTTGTGAGGCTTATAGCTGCATGAGGTTAAGAGGCCCGGTGGGGTTTAGGGGCCCCATGTGGCAGGCCCTGGGGGGGTTGTAGGCCCTGGGGGGCTTGGGAGCTCTTTGTGGCTGTCCCTGTGGAGCTTGGGGTTCTTGTGGGGTTTAGGGAATCCCTTGTGGCTGGCTCTGTGGTATATGGGGCCTGTTGTTACTGACCCTGGTATTTAGGGGACTCTTGGGGGGCTTAGAGGCCCTGCGTGGCTGGCCCTGTGGATTTTGCAGGCCTTGTGGGGTTTGGCCTTTTGGCTTGTGGGGTTTGGCCTTTTGGCTGACCCTGAGTGGTTTAGGGGCCCTACAGGGCTTAGAGCCCCCATGTGGCTGCCCCTGTAGGGTTTGGGGCTCCTTTTGGCTGGCTCTGAGGAGTTTGGGGGCCCAGAGAGTCAGGCCTTGTGGCATTTAGGAGTCCCTGTAGTGTTTAGGCTGCATAGTCAGCTGCATGAGGGGGTCCTGTGGGGTTTGCATGCCCTATTGGGTTTTAGGGGCCCAGTGGGGTTTAGGATTCCCTTATGGCTGTCCCTGTGGGATTTGCAGGCCTTGTGGAATTTAGAGGCCCCTTGTGGCTGGCCCTGAAAGATTTATAGGCCCACTGTGACTCTGTCTTTGAAGCTTGAGCCCTGTGGGGTTTCAGGGGCCCCAGTGGGATTTTGGGCCCCACATAGGTAATGCAATGGAGCTGGAGGCCCTGTGGACGTGGTGCCTGCCTGGTGCAGGTGGTGGCAGAGAGTCTGCCCCAGGAGCACGCGTTGGGCCCTGCTTCCCCCTAGCAGCAGCACTTTACCTGGCTGTGAGGCCTGACACAGCACAGATCTGCACTTGCTGCTCACCTCCAGTGCTGCTGCTTCTTGCCTGTGCCAGCTGAGCTGCTTCCGCTCTGTGACGGAAGGGTAGGTGACCATGACTTCCAGCCCTGACCAGTGCCACCTGGCCTGCTTTTTATCCCAAATGCCCCGTAGCAGCAATGTCCTGGTGTTTGGGGTCTCCCTGCAGCCCTCCTGTGATGTGTGTCCCTGTGTACCAGCTGTGTAAAGCAGAAGAGTGTGGGACAGTGTTCATTAGCCTGAATTGGGCTAAATTGCCCTTACATGCTGTGTTTCTGATTCTATCTGGGGTCATGCTATGCCCCATTCCCTTTTTAACCCTGCAGGCCTTTGGCACAGTGTGGGAGCCCTGCTTAGGATGTGGCTTGCTGAAGTGCACAACTTATTGGGGGCTTCTAGAGAGGTCTAAGTGCAGTGGCATGCTCCGGTGTGGGAGCTGAACCCATCTGGGTGGGTTGGGGGAAAAATCTGCTTTAAGAATTTTTCTTTTGGTGGTGGTCAGGAACACCCATGGGAATTCATTAGGTGGTTGTATTCATGTTTGGGGCAACTGCTTTATGTTAGGGATTCTGGTTTTCTGACCATATGCCTGCTTATTATAATTTGTAAAATCAGAGCTCAAAGAAAAAAAAAATAAATTGCAGGGAATACTGAGAAACAAGCACAAAATATTGTGGGGCCAAGCTCATAGCCTGTGTTAGTCTTCCATCTGCAGGTCAAAATTATATTTCCTACCTTCCTTCCCCCAGGCACATTTCCATATAAACTTCTAGAGTAAAGTACGCTACTTCAGCTTTAGAATCTTTGCCTTGTCTTTGATTCCTTCCGTATTTTCTTTTCTCTTCAGATCACTTCAAGAAAAAGATGCTTCTCCCCTACTATACTGCCTGTTCTCCTCACCACCACCCCCAAAGAATTGTGTTTCAGTGTTATTTTCTAAACGTCTGTGGTCACTTTAGGCTTTGATGGAGTTCTTGCCCAGGATATATCCAGAGCATCTCACTGTTGCTGTCACCTGGAGCCCAGGTAAGTGACTCTTAGTAACTTGTCTGTGCAGAACAGGACAGGAAAGAAGCAAATGAGCCAGTGAGGGAATCTGTTTCCATGTTCTCACTGCAATTTCAGTCATTTTGGGGTGTTTGGGTGTGGAGGGGGGGGGACTTTCTTGTTGCATCTGTAAAAGATTATGCTGGATTCATCGGGAAAAAGTGATGAGAGGAAATATATTCACAACACATCTAGAAACTACTTTTGTGTGGAAGCAGCTGTCAGAGTAGACAGAGGAAATGGAAAGAAAACAGGCTTCAGTTGGTCTTCCTTGCAGTCCCATCCCAAAGTTGTTCTTAGAAAAAATCTCTGTTCCTGAAGTGACTTGCAATCAATGGCTGAAAAGATGTCCCAGAATCTTTCTACAAGTGAGAAAAGAACAGTGTGTAATAATTTCCTTGTCCACTGCAACAGCTAAAATACAAATCTTTACCACATTTTCGCAGCATAAGGGTCCTGGCTGTTGGTGGTCTCTACTAGCCTGGTAGCGTGCCTGTGGGTCCTGTAGTTACGTGACTAAAATTCATATTTCATGGTTCTCCCTGAAGAAAGCATCAGGGTGCCTGAGTGTGTTCCTTCCTTATCCCGCAATGATGCAAATTCCAAGCCTTTGCTGTTGCTCCAGCTGCCTGCGGACTGCCTGGCGCCCTGCCTGAGGACTTGCTGGCCCACCTCCTGCCAGAGTGGAGATGGCTCCTCCTGGGGGCTCTGCTGGTAGGGTTTGTAACCTCCCCTACAGCTGATCTCCGGTCAGCAGGTGCCAGGTTGGGCAGAGTAGATGCAGAGTCGCACGTGGCCTTTCCAAAACGGTGTTTTGGCATCTACCCCTCCTGTCAGGGTCAGGCTGACCTCAGACAGTGGCCTCCCTGCTGTGGACCAGATGGACTTGGCGTGGTAACCCCATAACAATAATGCAAGGCTTGCTTGTTCTGGTTTTGCTACTGTGTGCTGGATGTGAGGGAGTGCTGTGAGCAAGGATAACTTGTCCTTCGGGGCCTCCTGAGGCAGAAAAGGGGATTTGGGAAGCTGCATGTGGAAGTGCCTCACAGAGCATGGTCTGTGTGTGTGTGGGGGGGGGGTATCACAGAAAACTGCCGAGATGAAGCACTTGGGTGGTGGGAGAACATTCACCTGCTGAAAATCACCCTGGGGATGTCTTGGGGCTTTAGGAGAACTACTGCACTACAAAATTTTGTAGTTAAGGGATGGGATCAAGGTTGTATTCATCCCTCCATCTATGTTTATTTTTTTTTTCATTTTTGTATTGGTTCCTTTGTGCTCAAGCTTCAGACAGTACGTGGTAACATCACAAAGCTTCCCATCTGCATTGATCAGCCTCTCTTACACATTATTTATTAAGCATCATGGATAAAGTTACTACATAATTAGGCTTGGAGTCCAAAGTGTACAAAGACATATGAAAGATCAAAACCAGGGATGTCCTTTTCTTCCTTAAAAATTACAATAAAGAATATTGGACATTGTTTTCTGTGTATAAATACCGTGTATAAAACAGTGACAATTCTAGAAAAATTCAATTCTTTAATACTAGAGTTCTGGCTCACTGTATTTGATCTCAGTAAAACCCTCAAAATTATATTAAGAGACTGAAAATTGTAATGCCATTCTGAAGCTGAAAAGAGTTGCTTTTGGAAGGTAAAGCAAGTATTGTATCTTGGCTTTGTGATGACAAAATTTTTCACTTTAGAAGGACATCCAGAAGGGGGAAAACTATATTTTATTCTGTTGGTTCATTCTTTCCAAGTATACTGTAAGCATGAGTGCAGATAGCATTGATTATTTTGTTTTAGCAGCTTCTGGGAAGAGATCAAAGCTTGAGTATTGGTCAGAGAAGCTGAGTGAAGCTAGTCAATTATATTGATAGTAAATCTGGGGCAAACCTTGCCATATCCTGCCCCCATTTATTGGGGCCAGATGGTAGGCTGAGAATTTGTTTTTAAAAAAAAACAATCCTGTCGCTGTGCACACACAGTGGTGGGCTTTGAGCAGTGATTATCATCCAGAAAGGAGACCTCAGAGATGTAGTAGGTGGTTCTGCTGCTCAGCAGAAAGTCAGTTCTTATTAGGAAGGGAAAAGAGAACAAATCTGAGAGCGGTGTTATGTGTGTCGGTGGCTCACCTGCTTCTGAAATCCCGCATTTACTTCTCATCTCA